TCATGACTATGAGAACCTCCTCCGTTCGAAGGAAGGTGAACCTAGGAAACCACGTGCATCTCTCGCAAACAAGAGGCTCAAGAAAATTTATGTTATGACGAACGGAGACCGCAAAGTGTTGGATGAGATGAAGACGGCTCTTATGAACGATGCGGAAGACTCAAAGAATGGAACGGGCGAGTGGGAGTTTGAATGGACATGGGAGGGGATATCGACGAGCCGCGATCTTGATCTGGGATATGAGGAGAAACCTGTTGCTCAAGCATTGGATGTCGCAGTTGCAAGAAGGGCTACACTTTTCATTGGCAACGGGGCACGTTTTTCATTCCCTTTTCATACCTTGAAGAAAGCTGATTAATATCTACATTCTTGCAGTTCTCTAGTCTCACCTCCAACGTCGTAATGTTCCGTTTGCATGGCGGGTTGGAACCTCTTCAGACACGCTTTTTATGACAACACATTCCATTGGGGGTGGAGGCAAGATCGCAAACTTTTGCGAATATATAACTATCTATATACCCTGAAGCTGCGAATTGTGGAAAGGGCTTTCAATGCTATCTATCAATGTTTGTACTGTAGCCTAATTACGTTAACGTCTAATCTTCTGTAATATCAAACACGCGCCGCTCTCGTCGCGGCTACGTATCATGGGCCATGACATGATGGCCAAGACGGTGTCCTATTAAATTTCAGACTTCAACGCCGCCACGTCGGACGCGTACGTTCATGGACAGTTTCAGTGAGCGGCGTTACTTGCCCTTACCGCATTCAGGTATACTCGCAAGAATACGCAGACAGGCACAGGGCGCCGTCAGTATTGCCAGAAAAGAAGTCAGGTCGCTCCCAGCTTACTCCTAGCTCACATCTTGCAAACAAATCGTTCACAATGAAAGCTTGAGCGCGCAGAGCTTACCGACTAGAAACCACATTGGGCATAAGGCGCCTGCAGAACGATAACACGGAGTATTTTCAGCATAAATAAGAGAGCACATGATTCCTTAATCTTAAACTATTTGGATGTCGCACATTGGTTGCACGAATCACTTCCATTAGGAGCATGCCAATGCGCCGAACGAAGAGAGAGAGGGTGCTCAAAGTCTAAACTGACAGGTATCCTGTCTAAATATAGCTCAATGGCAGGCGCTCAGAGTGTGCTTGCTCTGAGTGAGTGAGTGAAGTCTTGGGCGTTTGAGCATTGGTCCATTGCTACTTACCGACCAACAATCGCTAACAACTTGGTCACGTATGACCGGCCACCGGTGTCAAAGCTGATCTGTTTGTGCCAACTTGACACAAACAGCTCAGCTCGTTTGCTTAATTAATTGGAGCTGTTGTGGATTGTTCATGATGTTGTTGTGATGTTGCTACTACAAAACACCCCCCCGCCCCTTGGCCCGCCCCTTGGGCCACCCCGTCATATGAGCCAGTTGCAAATATCTCGCCACTGCATGCTCCATTCCTCTTGAAATTTTGGGTAGCCACACTCGCAGACTATGCCAACACAATCATACCATTTACTCAGTGAAAATTGACTGTGGAAAGGTAGTCAAGTTGACGGGGTCCAGTCACACCTGCCGATGATTGTCGTGTCGGACATACAATGCGACTGATGCCAAGATCAAGTGCGCGCCACTCAACTTGAACAATCCAGCATTCGCGGAACGAAACGAGCGAATGCATAGACGCACACTCCACACATCATCAATTCCGCAGATCATTTATATCATACGAAGGTTCTTATAGTATCCCCCATTAGCTCTCATAATTGACAGATCTTGCGTGTACGGCGATTGTGCCAGCGCGATAGGATCTTCTGAGAACAGCTCGTCAGTAGGCCATCTGAGCGCGCCCAGTCGAGCCGTTCGGAGTTTTGGACTTCACGCGGGCCACATGTGTGACCTGGCTCATTTGACGGGGTGCTACGGGGTGGCCCAGGGGAGGGGAGTGTTAGTATGTTGCCTTGATGTTGCCCAGATACATGTTGTCTCATGCGCAGCTTAACCGACTGGCTCAGCTCAGCTTCGGTAAGTACTCTTAGGGCTCGGCTTTGCGGAGGCTCTTCGTTCGGGTTGCATGGGCTTCCCCTACTCTCCTGGTTTCATCACGCTAACTGCAACGATGTATAAAGTACTGGGCGACCTCTGGCACCGTCGCGCCCTCGACTACACCATCCCCCCCGCACCCGATAATCTAGTCAACATGGTTGTGACTCGGACTGAGTCTATCCGACGTGGTTTTTGGGCGATACTACGCGTTCTCAGACGCTATGCTTTGCTGATTGTTGCTTTATTGACGTGTGCTCCAATCTATCGCTGGTACTTCAAATCCAGTGCTGTCACAGATCCCTATCACAGCACGCATTGCTATCAACATACCCGAGGAGGTATCTGTCCGTACCCTCAACCGCAGGACGCTCCGCCGAGGAGACAAAGAACGGGGATGCCTCCGCTCTACGAGGCGTATATGGACTTTGAAAATCATCTTACCAAACAAGTCGAAGGCAATACACCCGCAAGGAAATATATTTACTTCGCCAACCACCTGACCAACTGTGGATGGGGCAATGTGTTACAGGAAGTCATCTTCAGTTCATTGGTTGCATCGGGGCTGGACCGCGGGTGCGTGATTGGGAATATAATATAATGTTCAACTATCGTTTGTTAATAATGACTTAGGTTTGTATATGATGATTATATAGTAGAGCGCAGCACGGAACCATATTCACGATCATATAACGGGAAAATTATCCCATCTATTATCCCCCATTCTGCAATGATCAATGGTAAGTACACTTCTTCATCAAAAAAACTGGACTTTCGATTTCTTACAAACTGAAAGGGTACTTGGTTGGCCTTGACTCCCGCGGCCTCAACAGAAATGAAAACAACGAAACTCTTGCGATTTCTCGCAGAGTGTACGAGCGCATATGTCCACCTAGTGAACGTGTCTATATTCACCTTGAGTCAGTAGAAGCTCACCTTCGAAGTGTCACGTCCAACCCGACGGCTTCACTTAATGACGCATCCGGAAAATCCATACTCGATGCATGGCTTGCTCGGTTAAGTCAACCGGATGTCAAAGATGCTCGTTGTATGCAGGTGAGAGACGACAGCCCTCACGTTTTCAATATTGTGTAAGTTGCAGTCGCTCCATCTCAAAAGACGACGAAATCTCATCGATGTTTCCTTGAGCCAGGTTCTTCGGAACGACATACATGCAGGATTTATGGAAAACACTGTCCACCTCACCAGTACTTACTAACTGGGCTTGGTCTCCTCTCGTGTACCGCGCACTAGAACAGAACAGACGATTGTTTATCTCAGATTCGAAACAACCCGCGGAGACATCGCCTCTGTCGACAGAATCTCCTCCATGGCACATTTCCTGGATAAAAACAGCCGCACCTCTACCTCTCCTCACACTTCACCTCCGACGAGGAGATTTCAAAGACCACTGCCCACATCTCGCCGACATGGCGTCTAACTACACTGGATTTGCGACTTTCCCCGAATTTTCCGCCCGAGACCCTTTCGTCGTCCCACTTCTCGTTTCAAAGGACTCCACTGAATCTCCTGTGCGACACTCACCTAAAGATATTCCCATCGTTGAGTCTAAGGAGGAGCTATACCGCTATTATGCTCCTCACTGTTACCCCGATGTCAAGCAAATCGTGCAGAGAGTCAGGGAAGTTTTACACGATTATGAAAAGTTTCTTCGTGGCGCGGATATAGGGACAGGGAAGGGATCAAGCTTCGAGAAAGCCAGAGCCGAAGAGGAAAGAGATCGCACTGTCCCAGATAGCTCTCAAGAGAGGAGGGGTATGGCCGGTTGGAGTTGGAAGCAAAAGGCGGTGGACATAGGCAACGCCAGCCCATTAAGGAAATCCCTAGCAAATCAAACTCTCAAGAAGATATTTATCATGTCGAACGGCGATTCAGATTTTCTCAAGCAAGTCAAAGACGCGTTACTGGAAGATGCGGAAGATTCAAGAAATCCAGAAAAATCTGCTGCATGGGGTTTTCAATGGGAGTGGGAGGTGGTTTCAACGAGCCGCGATCTCGTGCTTGGTTGGGAGGAAGCGCCAGTGGGGCGCGCGTTGGATATGTATGTGGCTCATAGGTCGGAGTTGTTCCTCGGCAATGGGGTACGTTTGCCTGCTCATTGTTTCATTTTGCCGTAGAGCTACACTGATTTTAACGGTTGACTTCTTCTGTAGTTCTCAAGTTTGACAGGTAATGTTGTGATGCTACGGAAGATGGGCCCCTTCGATCCTGTCCAGACGAGGTTCTGGTAAAGTCTTTCAATGGGCTCACAGGAGGTAATATACATCAAGAGACGTGATAGTACACTTGATTAATTTAGACGCTCAATATATAATATGCGCTCACTAAAGGATCTAATGTTCGTCGGGAGTCCGGATGCTACTATGCTCGATTTTTGAGGTCAGGGCACTTTTGTCCTCTAAGGTTTGTTGCAAAGGCGGTTGTAGCGAGCAAAGAGCAAATGAACACGTACGTCGAGATACTCCGAGATTGCCGCCTCTGCTTTCGCTGTGAACGGTAACTCGTCGATTTCAAGTACTTTTTCTAGGGCGGACCTCAATTCCTCGTTGGACCCAAACCCGCGGAGCATGAATGTCAAGCATTTCAGGCTCCAGTTCTACTTGTGCTGGATTTCACACGAAGATGATTTCGCTGTAATCTAGTTTGTCCAAACTGCTCGATTTTCTCAAGCCATGTGAGATTTGACTGATTCTGAAATTCATTTGGCCCTAGAGATGTAGTTCATACATCGTAGAGCGAAAGGGCATACCTTTCACTCAACAAAATACAAGCCAGATCTATTTTGATCCTCATGAAAAATGCGTGGTTTCAACGTAGTTCGGCGACGCGGAGGTGGAGAAGATGGAGACCATGTCCGTCAATTGAATGCTCGTCATCATTGAGGAATAACAGGAACGTGACCAAGTCAAGGCAAAAGACATCCAATCCGAAAATATATGGCATCACTGTGGATTGAACACAGGACCTTCAGAATACAATGTTTTTATACACTTCAGTCTGCTGCTCTCCCAACTGAGCTACGACGCCGATGTTATATTGCCGAGCTGAGCAGTTATTACATGACAGACCTAGCCAAAGAGTGTGGCGCATGGAAGCTCATATTAGGCTCCAGCCAATCTGTTTCGCGATTTCTCTGAGCCCAAAGTCGATTTTGTCGGTCTCTAGCCTTCGTCGTCGGAGATTGTCAACGACACAAGAGATGAGAGCTTGGTGATTGTGGGATGGCCCGGACCGCGCAGATTAATGAATGACATGCGTGTTGTCCCCGATGATATTAAGGTTGCCCGCAGCTACACCGCGTATACGTATACCTAGCGTAACTAAAAATGTAGGAGATGAGGACCAAGGACCGAGGTCTATGAGTGGTATCTGCCCATTACGGCATCATGGACTGAGTCAGAGAGATTAAGTCGACCAATAGCATTCGCTCCGATGTGCGAAGGCTGAAGCCAAGTTGGTCGAAATCTGTGCTTGGCCAGTCACATAGACAATAACTTAGCTCTAAGGTCTGAGCATCTCGGAGAGAAGGACACCCGTGGCATGTGAGGCTTGGGGTGAGAAACCTTATGTTGTAGATTGGCGCAGGTCGAGCGTGATAGTTGCTCCAAGAGCGCACTAGCACATATAAGGCCATTGCTGTCAGCCGGAGACGAGACGGTCCGTGATACGAGGTGAACAACCCCATCTTATGAAGGTGAGAAAGGCTGGGAGGCTGCCAATTGGCCACTGAGAAAAACGTTTATTTCATTGTGCGCTAGCGCAGTGAGAACTATTTATCACTGACATCTCAGCTGGTCTGGTGCGAGAGAAGGACACGCTGACCGGAGTGCAGACGGTCCGTGAAATGAACTGAAGATCCTTGGCCTGTCGATGTCAGTTTGAAAGGTAGGGTCCACTGGCATGAGGATCTGACTGATATTACGAGAGACATTGTATGAAGAACACACGCATACCTTGTCTGATCGTGTCTCCTTTGTATTTCTCCGGAATTACTTGAGAGACGTTCAAAAACTGAACTGACAAAACAAGGCTCGTCACATTCCATAATGGCGGTGGAAGGAAGGACCAACACTGATGGCACAGGTCCATTCAAATTATGTCGTTACTTGAGACCGCAACCAGACATGCGCATTGTCTGTGGCTGCAAAGTTTCTCCGACATTAAATTGTGAAAGAGACGCACGCTAGATGCGCTCGTTATGTTAGTCTCGACACGAGAAGGTACGAAGGGGAAAAAAGGAAGGACTGTGCCAACTCGCACGCACACATTGTTCGTCTGTCTGCTCAATCTCTCCGAGATTGGATTGTGAAAAGAGACGCGAGTCAGAGGGTGTCCCTCGTACAGACAGTGCACACTGCATCATACTCTTTCTCAAACCAGCCGCTCTGATAATCATTGAAAATCTATTCCATGACAAGTCCTTTCTTTCTCCGGAATTAAGATGTGAAACAGACGCTATTCAAATCTCTCTCTGTGTATCATATCTTTAAATTCTCAACACAGCTAGCTGAGCTGATATACACACGAACAATTATGTCGCAGTGGAATGTTTCCGGAAAATATCAAGTGCGCGCCAGGTTGATAGGCTTTTACCGCCACTAGCGTAGAGCCAAAGTCACGTAGAGTCAATAATACACACGCTCAGACTAAGTAAGTAACAACCTACACCAGGCCATTCATTTGGATAGTTGTGTTACGACACCCCACGAGGACGAGGACTCAAGACGATAGCAAGACAAATGAAATGTGTACCTCGTCTGTAGTTGCATGATTTCTCCGAGATTAAATTGTGATAAGAGACTACTTGGTTGATATCTAGACTATGCCCTACTAACACTCCCCCCCCCCTGGGCCACCCCGTCAAATGGGCCAGTTGCAAATATCTCGCCACTGGATGCTCCGTTCCTCCTGAAATTTTGGGTAGCCACACTCGTAGTCTATTTCAACACAATCATAACATTTTTTCAGTCGAAATCGACGGTGGAAAGGTAGTCAACTTGACGGGGTCCAGTCACACCTGCCGATGATTGCCGTGTCGGACATGGTATCGGCAATGCGACTGATGCCAAGAACAAGTGCCAATTATGGAAGGGACGCGTCGCGTCGCGTTCGCGCCACTCACTTAAACAATGCCAGCAGTTCGCGGAACGAAACGAGCGATTGCACGGGGAGTTTGTGATCCTGTATATGAGTCACGAATTCAGCAGGCATTGTCTGGGGTGGTCACAGGAACATATAAATCTTTGAACAAAGCTGCAAGAGCTTTAGGAGTAAGTGATCATATGCAAAGGAATGTAATTCTTGCGCTTATTGTATTCTAAGATTTCATCATCCACGTTGAAGCGTCGTGCATCTGGCAAGTCCGGCAGCATGGCGGCGGCAAAACAACGTCAACAAATGCTTAATCCGGAACAAGAAACCGCGTTGCTTGATTGGGTCGGGCAAAAGGCGGCGGAGGCAATGCCTTACACAGATGAGACGCTTCGATGTCACGCAAGCACATTGGCTGGGAAACCAATCGGAAAGCATTGGGTTGAGCGCTTCAAGAAGCGGCATCCCCAGATTATATCTGCAAAGTCTGCCAAGCTGGACCCCAAACGAGCAGACCATTTTAACAGATCCGTCATTATGGACTTTTTCGAAAAATGGACAAATCTTGTGGAGGAGCGGGGTGGAATACCCCCAGAGCACATATGGAACATGGATGAAAAAGGCATTCAAATGGGAGGTGGACGCAAAAATAACGGAAAAAAATACCTCTTTTTCCGAAACAGCAAGGATCGCTATCAGATTGCAAGTGACAACCTCGAATTAGTTACAATTCTTGAATGTGTCTCCGCGGCTGGTGGACAAGTGCCACCATCATTCGTTCTAACAGACGGAGGACTACCGGACCTACGTGATATCCCAGATGAGTCCTGGGGAAGGTAAAATCCTCTTCGTTAATTTTTATGTATTGATGTTGAATTGTTTCAATAGTTTGTATAGGTCGGCATCTGGATGGACCGATTCGGAGAACTGCAAGAACTGGATCCGAGAGGTCTTCTATCCCGCTGCAAGACAACAGCGTGTTGACGAAAATAAACCGGTTGTGCTTTTAATGGATGGCCACGAAACACATGAAGCTCATCCAATCAAGCGTGTTATCTACGAGCTCATGGACGACATGGAGATTATTGTATTCTGTTTTCCATCGAAATGCACCCACAAGCTCCAGCCGCTTGACGTGACTGTATTTTCTGGAGTGCAGCGGGAGTGGCAAAGAATATGCTACGAAGCAATTGCAGAGAACTTGCCTATAAATCGGTATACAGTCATCCCCGAATACCTTAAAGCAAGATCTCGATGCATCACAAAAGAATTAATTCAATCGGCGTTTGTCAAGACAGGTATTTGGCCGATCAATCCAGACGTCTTCACCGACCAGGACTTCGCACCCAGTAATACAACATCTACTAAAGCTCATGTCCCCGATTCCTTTCCTACCGAAGTTCGTTCCTTGTCTCCCGCAATTCCGACCGATCTCGAGGATGATTCAGACTTTGATTCAACCTACAATCCCATGGATCTCGGAGAAGATGATCTCAGTGGAAATCTCACCGATTCCGATATCTTGGATGCTGAGTGTAACACTCACGCTCCTTCGCAAAGTTCATCTAGTGGACGATCAGGCCTCGTTGAATTGCTCAGCAGAATCGAGTCAAAAGTCACCGAAAACCTTCATCTCACGCGATCTCTAAGTGCCGACGGAGCAAACCATATTAATTGTCCACCAATTACCTCATTGGATCACGATAAATCTTTGACTCGAGAAGATATGTTTGCAGCACTCCGTGATGCACGAGCACAACTGGCATGGACATACCAGGCCATGGAAGGTTACAAGGCCGAGGCTTCTGCTGCAGGTGCGCACTGCACAGTGCTTCAAAAGGAAGTTGAGGACTTGCGTAAAAAATTTGCTAACGAAAAAAAAACTAAACGGCGAGGTTCAACAAAAGTCAAGGCACGTTTCGTTACCTCTGCCGGGCTGCGCAATGAATTTGCAGGCTTAGACGCTGAATATATCGAGCGGGAGAAAGCGGCTACAGAAAAGCAAAAGCAGAAAGATGCCGATTCCACCGCGCGTGCGAATCGCATTGCCATAAATGCGATCCAACAGGTGTTCTCGAAGCCTCTCTCTTCCTACAAGCTCAAGGAAGAATTTCAATCGCTGGCCCGTGCCCTTGAGCTTTCTGACCTCGGGACAAAAGACGAAATTGTATCTCGCATCAAACAGCACACAAACGAGCATCCTGAGCTCGCTAGCAACCCCCGATTTTCAGGCTTATTCTCACAAGCAGGCCAAGTTACTCGACGTTGCCCAATGGCTCAAATTGATCCTCCGGAAGTATCAACATCTACTTCCACCCATGCTAATGAAAGTAATATCTTCCCATCCTTACTCTACTCACCTCCTAATCCAGGTGCTAATCATTTTCGTTCTAATTCTTATGTGCCGTTGTCATATAATCACCTACCATCTTCTACTTTAGATTCTCAAAACACTTCCTTAAACTCACACTCCACAAGTCATCAATTCCCCAGATCATTCATACCATACGAAGATCTTTACAGTATCCCCCATTAGCTCCCTTAATTGACATATCTTGCGAGTACGGCGATTGTGGCAGCGCGATAGGATCTTGTGAGTACAGCGGCCATTTGAGCGCCTGCCCCAGTCGAGCCGTTCGGAGATTGAACTTCACCTGTGACGCATGTGTGACCTGGCCCATTTGACGGGGTGGCCCAGGGGGGGGGGGAGTGTTAGTATTCACGGCGAAAATCAGCCAAAGTCGCGCAGAATTTATATTATAATCGTAACGCCACGCCACGCTCAGACTAAGTCATGACGCACTAGCGAGCGCAAAGACTCAGCTTCAGGTTCGGAGAGATAGCGGACGGTGTGAGTGTGAGTGAGTGAGTGAGTGAGTGCGAGTTTATTTTTATTATGAGGTCCCGGTGATCGTGAGGAGTGTGAGTTGAGAGAT